CCTACATATAATTCACGAGTACTTCATATGGATGCTAAGGTGCCCCGACCTTCCAATGTGAAGCTCAAATCCTCGCATCCTGTGGAAACACAGCATGAGACATAAGGAAAGAAAAGAAAGAAAAAACTAGCATGGCATCCAGTTACAGTTTTCTTTTCTTGTTTTGTCGAGTTCACAAGGTCCTCTCTCTCCAACCTCAACATTCTCATAAGCCCCCCCTACTCCCCTCTCCTAAACCACTAGTACGAGCCCGCTCGCCAGAAACTTCTGCCGGTATATAAAAAGGGCGCAGAGGGCAGCGATCTCATAAGGTGGGCCAAAAACCCCGAAAAAACGATTTTCGAAGTGCCGGCCTGGCAGGGACCGGTTTGATTCTTTCAGGTGCAAAAAACTGGGTTCGGCAATTCTGGGTCTGCCATACATCCCCTGAGCGCAGCAGGGCAATCAATGCTGCAGAGGCCCTTTTCTCTGTAAACTTACAAGTGTGTTGAGTGGTGCATTCCTTTGCAATCATTGAGTAATTATGGGACGCTGGTCCCAGTTTCCAGAAGGTGATGCTCCCGACCAATAGATTGCAGCTGTCCTAGGGGAAGAAAAAAGGAAAAAAAAGGGTCGACCCCTAACGGCAAACCCCTTCAACACTCTATTGAATGTACACGACAGCGGTTGCAGGCACTGGCACTGGGCAAGAATACCCACCCAACGCACGTTGAAGTTAACACCAGAAGAGCCCTCTTGTACAGTTTGTACACTAGGCTTGACAATCTGTCTTACTGGCCCCCATGAGCTAACCTGAACCCCTCCAGAGATGGGCCCGAACGCCTGATGTTCCAGGATCATGATGGATGTGTTATACACCATGGCAAGTATTTTCAACGCTGGGTCTACTGGTCCTCTGCAGGACAGAAACTCTCACCACCCTTGAGAAAGAGGCCTTGTGACGCCCAACCTCACGCCCAGCGCGACTTCCTGTTCGGAGTGGGATGGGGGGCCGGAAGTGCGAAAAGGGGTGTGCCAAGGATTTTTGGAAATTGAAGTGGAGTCCCAGGTCAGAACTGAGATCTCCGGTGGCAAGCTTAGGGGTAGTTGAGCAAGTTGGTAATCCCGAGTTATATTGGACTTCGGGAGACCGGGCTGTGACGCCCAACCTCACGCCCAGCGCGACTTCCTGTTTCGGAGTGTTTAGGGGGCCCGGAAGTGCGAAGAGGGATGTGCCAAGGATTTTAGGAAAGTGGGGGTGGAGTCCCAGGTCAGAACTGAGATCTCCGGTGACAAGCTTAGGGGTAGTTGAGCAAGATGGTGGTCCCGAGTTATATTGGACTTCGGGAGACCGGGTTACCTCCGGTATGAGTGGCGCCATCACGGTCGGTCCCGTCTCTGGTGGACCGGTGGGTCGCTATGGCTGTCACGCTGTTCAAACAGCTGCCGGCGCCGCTCGGCCTCGACTCGGGTTCGTCGGATAAATCCCGAAGTCCGATACGCCTGGGGCTGCTGGCACTCTTCGCACGGTGTGCGGGGCCAATAGCGAGCTATGGAATTCCGAGGTACCACTGTGAGCTGATGGTAGGGGAGGAGGAGATGGAAGGGAGGAAAGCTGGTAGAAATAACGACGAAGCCCAAAGATATGTAATACTGAGTGTTGTTAGTATTCGGGTAGTCTGGGCCCCGGGGATCGTTGGTTATGGCCCAGTGAAAGTCCCTTGCGCATAGTCGGTCGTTCTCCGTCAGACAGGGGAATTCTGGATTTCTCAAGTTTCCCCGCCGTCTGAGTTGTTCACCCTCCCAGTATTCGCGATACTCCGGGTCCCGCACATTCTTACGATCGGTGATCCAAGAGGGGGGTTTTACAGCCATATCCGATTAGTGAACTCGGTTTCCTGCATCCTCATAATGAGTCAAGATCGAGATCAACTCATGCAGACGGGTGTGTACGCCGCGACTCGGTTTCCTTGAGATCACGGTCATATGCGAGCGCGCACATGAGCGGAGGTTGATCAGGCGCGGGTTCCTCGCGCTGGTGTATTGGTTGTGTCCTACCTGCGCGCAACTATCCCACCCAGACTATTTCAGGTGGGTCCAGTCATTGCATTCACATCCATGCCATTCATGCGACGAAGAGAAGGGAGACGGGCTATTGCCCTAGCATCAAGGGCCAACATCTCACACAATTAAGGATCAAAGCTAACGATCAAACGCGAACATCCATAGCAAGTGCCTCCAATCAGGCCCGGGATTATTGCACGACGTAGATGGATATTAGCAAGCGACAAGATTTGAACTAAACAGGCATTGCAGAACAGGATTAGAAATCCAAGAAGATCGTGCGAAGAGGGTTCGCATCCATTCCATGCATACACACGAGGCAAAACGACAGAAAAAAACTCGAAACGATTTACGAGAAAAAGCCTGAAAGTGCCGCAACAAGATCGGTCAAAATAGAGATCACAATTATACAAATGATTGGCAGAAATAGACCTCATCCCACACATAGTTGTTCTCTCTCTCTCTCTCTCTCTACATTCCCCGATGCGGGCAGTCCGTCGCCGCGCATCAACACAGAGTCGTCACCCCGCTTGGTTCGAGCATGCAAGCCAGGTTCGCCCGTGCACCACAGTCCGTCGCGGCCCGCACGTCAACCCCACATACCCGACACCAGCTCGTCGGATCGCCCAACTCTCTCGTCGACTCACCTCTTCCAGCTGACTCGTTAGCCGACCCTCACTGATCGCGCTAACTCCAAAGTTCATAGAGAGCAAACTAATCGCGCTTGCAAAAATTATATCATGCACGCCTGTGCGATAGATACGGGATTAAACCTCAATGGTCAGAAGGAGAAGAGAGGAAGTGTCCACGTCTGCATGGTCAGGCCGCGGCGTGGGGGACGTAGCCACTCTCCACGCATCGATCCGGTCGTGCAGGCGATTAAGCCAATTAGAACAGAGTATTAGGCATGCAAGACAAAGAAGGAGAAGAAGGCGGGCACACATGAGGAAATCAAGAAGAAGAAAGATGCAGTTACAATCGCGCCCGCCAAAAGCGACAGTTACACGAGATTAGGGACGCGATCCAGTTAGAGCCCAGTCCCTAGTGCAGCAAAGTGTGCGCGAGTGAGAAGCGCGGCGCAACAAAATTCAAAGTACCTAAATTCCTAGCCTAAATCCTAGTTGCAAAAAAAAAGGAAATTCCGAAGAGCCCAAAAACAATTTCGCGAGCCCGTAAGGGCTTGACGTTGGTTAAAAATTCAAAAATGATATTTTCGCGTGATGATCGCGCAAAAAATTCCTAGTGCTCACGGCAGAACAAGAAAGAAGTCATGGCAATCGTTGTCCATCACGCTCGCTAAGGCGCGATTACCTAATCGTTGGCGCGGGGCCTTCCCGACACCGACCTGACAGATTCCCACAGAAAACAGAAAGAAATGAGGACATCCATGCAATTTGCCCGACCAACCCGTCTTTCCACAGCTCATCCATCCGACCCATTCATTTCCCCAAGGCAGCTTCGCGCAGAAAGTCGCGCGATTACAGAAAATGGTTCATCACATATGTGACGCCCAGGGGGTTCCAATCTTGAGCAAACTCCCGCTTGCTCACACACTTATGTGTCAATCTATATCGCGAGGATCAACATGGAGCTCACACGTGCCACATACCGTAAGATAAGAGTGTGGAAGTCACTCAGTCGTGACATTCGTGGGTTCTCCCGCAAACGTTTCCGATGAAGGGTAATCTGATGACGAGAGGAGGAGGTGATGGGTGGACTTGGGGAAGGGGAGGTACGAAGCGGCGAATTTCCCTGTCACTCGTGGGGATCCGGGTGTAGTGGACCGTGCAGTGGATGCGGGGGAAACGAGGGTGCTCCCATTGATGAGGGAGAGAGGCGAGATAGTCGGGGTAGAGGGTGGAGAGGGTGCGAGGGATAGCAGCGCGGAAGTTCTTGTAATTTTCACAGGCTGGAATTGTGCTTGAGATTATGCAGTAAATTTCAATATTATTAAATTCCCGTCAGTTTACGCTGAAAAGAAGGACATGGAGAGGGAAGGAGGTGACGAAGGAGCGGGTGGTAGAGTGTGGGACGACGGTGACGAAAAGGCGGGTGGCGTAGAACTGGTGGAAGAGAGAGGGCGGGAAAGGGTACCATCCATCAAGGAACAGGGGTCGGCCTAGGAGTTGGTGAGGGGTGAGGAAGTCAAGGGGACGACAGGATAACGACCAAGGACGAAGCCCGGTCGCCTGTATTTCCACGAAGGCGAAGAGTGGCTCGGATGGCGGAGAAGAAGGAGTTAGGATTCACTCCTTCGGCGACGTCGGCTTCCTGATCCCTCTGTCGCGGCTCCATCAGATTCTTCGCGCGGTGGCTGTGGATTCCACGATGGATCGCCTAGCTATGTATCACCCGCGATCATGACCACGGGCTTTTTTGCTGCATGCGGTCGGGACCCCGCCCACGGCGGTCGACCCCCGCAACCGACTGCGAGCATGAAACCCGGGGATTTTTTAAAAATCAAATGATAGGCCAAAATATATATATATATATATATATGGGGTTGTAGGGTTTGAAATTCCCTACAACTGTAAATTTTTTGTTTTATTTTTTGACTTTTTTTTTTTTTTTTAAATGAAAAACAGAAATCCCTTAGGCAAAAGTTCTTCACTTTATTCTTTTTTTAAGAAAAATAAAGGATTTTGTTTGATTTTTATCTCAAATGTGGTAACGAATTTTGATATGACCCCAAGGCAAAATTTGTTCAGTTTATGTTTTGGCATAACATATATTGTTTTCAGATGTTTCTGAATTTTTTTTGTTTTTTTGTTCCATGACCGCGGGCCGCCGCGGTCATGACCGCGGCCTCGCGGCCGAGACCGCAGTCCGCTGTCGTGCCCGCGGCGACCGCGACCGCGGGGGATTCATAGTCGCCTAGCAGTAGTTGTGGTGGCGGCCCTCCAGATTCTTCGACCTGCCGCTTGCCCTCCGCTTTCTCCCGCCTCCGCTGAGCTTCCGCTTCCTCCTCTTCTTTACTTCACGGAGGACGACTACTTGGCTCTCCTGATGCACTTTCCTCTTCCTCCTCCAACCCAATGTAGTCGGGATCGTCTCGATCGGTGCCCGATTCTTCTTCCCCTGACTCCTCTTCTTCTTCTTCTTCTTCTTCTTCTTCTTCTTCTTCTTCTTCTTCTTCTTCTTCTTCTTCTTTTTCACCGGCCTCTAGTGTGTTTCCTCGCCAGACAAAAGGGTCCCATAGTGTGAGATCAGTGACGTTAATGTCGAGATAGAGAGTTGGGGACGGGTAAAAGCAGATATCCCCGTCCAGCTCTGTGCATGTGGACCACATAAGATGTGGTGCAAGCGCGCGAGCGAGCACGTCGGTCCCCGGCTTCCCGTCACACCTCGACAGGATGTCGAGACGTAAATCGTCCACGAGTTGCACCAAAAACACCAGCAACTCGTCCGTAATTGCTTCGAGATGTCTTTCCTCCACCTTGCCAAATAATATCCCCAACAATTCTCCCTCCGTACTCGTTCGCCAAGCTTGCACGATCAACAGTTCCACCTCGTTGTCCGGGACCTCACCCCCTTCAGCTTCGGGGGCTGGCTCCGCCCAATGAAACACTAAGCACACCAAACAGAAGTTGAGCTCTACGTAGGCGTCCCACCACCCGTTCCACTTGTCCTCGTCCAAGATCTGTACGCTGAGCTCCCGGATCTGGAAAGAGAAGGCAGGATCGATAGCAGATTGCCAAAAGGTGGGGAGATCAGACGGAAGATTGAAGAGGGAGAAACGATGACGGTTCATTGGGGCCGCTCAAAGGGGAGGAGTTCCGGGAGAAGGATCTCCGGTGCACTGCTAGAGGTGCGGAGTCAGAGGTCTATATCATTCGTGGTCGTGATTCTTTCCCCCAAACGAACCAGCAATTCGACCCACGTGGCCATGATCTCCTCGGCCCAACCCCGCAACTGCCGATAGATGCCCGTATGGATCGCCGGGTGTAGCGCCGTGATGTCGCCAGTGAAAGTGACGATGATGGATATGTGGCTAACGCCGGGCGAGGACAGGCGCTGAAAAGCCGAAATCTCGGCCAGTACACGCGTCGCCCCTGCGTGTACGAAACGGAACTCTGCTGACGCGTGGATGGTTGTTGTGTTGAAGAAGGCGGCGAATCGAAGGAGATCGGGACTCAACCGAGATCGCTGTACCTGCCGGATTATCGCTCTACGCCCCCTCGGGGTCATCAGACGCTCGTTGATCACCTGCTCTGTCGAAAAACTCATGGCGATGGAGGCGGGGTCGAAGACGATGGTTGAGAGGGAAAGGAGGATTCTAGAGAGTCGTCATCCTCGTCTTGGCCGAGGGACGATACAGATGATGGAGGAGAAAGGGATGAGGGGAGAGGACGAAGGTAGGACACGTGTCGAACGATCGACGAGCCGATCGACTCCGCGACATCTCCGGCGCAAGCCACACTGTGTTCACCCCACTGGGACCAAGCTTGACCACATGAAATCACCCGAAGAATCGTGGCGCTAGCTTGCCTTGGCGAGCACATTTCCTCACCTGCACGATATCCTCTAATTTATATAGGGGCCGAGGCCCAGCGTTCCCATTTCGGGCCTCGTAACTCCGGACCTGTCTCCCATGGGCCATTTCTGTCATTCATTGTTTTTTTTCGGGCCAGTCATGGGAGGACGTTTTCCATCAGCTCTAGGTGACGCTGGGCCCTATCCTTAACCGTCGCTCTAGTCGTCTGTCGTGGAAGGGCCGTCTCATCATTTAGGCTCGGTAGGGCTACGCAGGGTAGGCTATTGGTCCGTAGTTGGAAGGGGGTCAGACCCGTGGATTCATCGGGGGTCCCTCGTTGTATAGCCAGGATATGATCTACAATATCAGGCCACAGTCGTGTGTCCTTGGCCTCGATATTCCGTCGGAGTGTCGTTTTAATTACTCGGTTGGCGTTTTCTACGAGGTCGTTCGACTGAGACATGTGGGGGGCAGTATTACGAATAGACACCCCATGTACAACTAAAGTCCTCATGACTTCCCCTCGAAATTCTGTTCCGTTGTCCGTAAGGATTTCCTCGGTATCCTGATGCATCCCGAGGAAACGGTTGACATACCGCGCTATTTCCGACGTCTGTCTAGTCCGACATGGGTAGGCCTCGATCCACTTTGAAAAGTGGTCAACGAACACCAAGAGGATTGAATATTCACAGCTATTCGGTCCAGGGGGCATGACGATGTCCGTCGTATTCATGCTAACCCTCTGAAATGGCCGTTCGACTACGGTAGGTACTATCGACCTAGGCGGCTGAATCGACGCCTTGTCAGCGGCGCAGACCTGACAATTTCGGACGATGAACTTAACATCATCACGAATATTGGACCAATACCATTCATTCTTGTCAATCGCCACCTCCGTAATCCGTACAACAAAATGATTTGCAGTCTCCTCGTGTGCCGACTTAACCCAGTCGTACCTCATGAACGGATGGGGTACTGACATCCAAATCCCACTACCGTTGGTTTTTCGCTTTTCCAATCGTCCCTCGTTCCATCGGTAGTCCCGACTCCCGGGCCCTCTCATGGGCCCTTCTACGGTCTTCCTTGGTGAAGTCTCGGAGGGGGTTCCCAACCATTGTGGCTATCAAAACGACATTTGTCCAAGGACCACGGTCCTATAGCGGGCTCAATCCAGTCGTTGGCCTCGAATTCCCTGATCCGCTCCAGGGCCGTTCGTCTTTCAACCAACGAATATCGATACGGTTTGCACTGAATCGGCGGGKGGGTGCCAGTCTGGATCTCGTGATGTATGACTAGGGACAATCCGATCTTCACATCCTCTACTCTAATCGCATCCTGATACTCCGTCAAAATGTTAGAGATGATTTTGTGTATCTCATCCGGCACATACTCTGGCACGTGCAGTTCGTAGTGACAGTCCCGTATCACGATCGGTAACTGTTTCATCCGGGTAGTGGGGGTCTTCTTTGTGGGTAGAGACGATATAAACGAATTGTCGGCCTTCTCCATGATTTTCAGTCCAATATCGAACGGGGCGAGGTCGTAAAGCCCAGGGGGTTCCCAAGTCCAGTCCTTTACGCCTTTCCCTAACAACCAGATTCCTTCCCGGTCGTGAGCAACGAACTGGGAGGAATTTTCGAGATATCACAAAAGAACCGTTTGTCATGGTATCTTGGTAGTAATGGAGTGGCCGCCTCGTATATGGCTCGAGGGGGTTTCCAAGAGTCGGTCAACCTGGACATCTGCACTAGTGGTTCTCCCATGATTACCGCTCTAGTTCGCCACACGTTTTCTGTAAAAACGAAGGTTTTTGTCATTTTTTGTCGGAGTGGGCAGCGTACTATCTGTCGTGTCTGGATCCGTTTCTTTCACACTCTCGGAGGTGGACGATGGTAGTATGGGTTCGTTATATTCAACGTACGACTCATCTGTGGGTTCTTCCCATCTTATCATTTGTATCATTCGCGGGGCTTTACCCGGTTCCTGACGTTGTCGCTCAAACGTCGAGGTGGTTCGGAGGGTGAGGCGCATCGGAACAGTGTACGACTTCCCTCCCGTGTTTTTTAGGACGGCTGCTCGTCGCTCGAAGTCCAGCGTGGCCTGCAAGGTTGTGAGTGCTGGCAATCCGATGAGGACGTCGTATGTGCTCACGTTTAGGACCACTATGTCGCCTAAGGCATGGACCTTTCCTATTCGGAAGGCGACATTTCCCATCCTCCTGAAAACTCGAATCTTACCTTCATCGGCGGAGACGACATGATCGCCTTCTGCAAGCGGAATCACATCCTTCCGCCTTCCGGCCCGTTCGACCACCCGCAGGGAGATAGCCAGGACCGCGGCTACGGAGTCGAGGACTGCACTATAGGGGTTGCCCCAGACTTCCACGTCACACTCCGCGGATTTCCATAGTAGGTCCCTGATCCGCAGGAAGTGGTCATTTTTTCGGATCAAGCCCATCCGAATGGGTTCTGAGGTGCTCGACATATCCGGCTTTGGATCTTTGGCGGGAGCCTTTCCTTTCACGACTGATAGTTTGGCAAAGGCAAACGATTTTCGGTTTGCCTTGCAGTGCTGAAGCATCTGGTCGTTAGCCTTCTCGGAGATGGACAACATGTGTCCGATCAGTAGAGGGGGATGCGGTGATCCAATGCTCGAACTATATCTAGTACATCGATTTCTCCCGTAACGAACGCGGGTCCTCCGGATTCCATTTCGCTTGGGGAGGGCCTCCATTCCGAGACCTCGTTATCGTCGAGGCAGGTTGGATAGCCCCGATCATTCCGAGGCCCGGGTATCCTAGTGATATGTATTGGTCAAGTGGGATAAGCTATGCTGCTTCCTCCATAGCCCCCGACGGGCTTGCACCGTTGTCAGTCTCTTCTACGATCGTGGCTACTCGTCCTGGTCCGTTAGCAATAGGTGTTGCGGCCGCCGGTGCTGGTCCGATCCGTGCTGGGGTAGGTCGGTTGGGACAGTCTCGTGCTATGTGTCCGGGTTGGTGACACGTGTAGCAACCGTCGACTTGTGCACCTGTTCTTGTCGCGACGACGTCTGTTGCCTGCGTGGCTCCCACTCCCATGGGAATAGCTCGAACCATGATCGGGGGCATCGAGCGGAGCAGTGTTTCCATTCGGGCGTTATATTTCCGTTGCTCCCTCTTATTTTCCTGCATGAGGTTTACCAATGTTCGTGTTAGCTCTAGGATAGCGTTGGGTTCTTCGGGCTTCGAGGGCGGGGGAGTCGGAGACGGCATAACAGGTGGTCCGACGACCATGTTGGCCATCGGTTTTTGCACCCCGACCAATCCTAGGTAGGTTACGGGTCCTGCAACAAAGCCCATGTTTTCAAATTTATTTTGCAGCGCAGCAAGCTCCATTCGTGCTCGTGTAAGTTTGGACGTATCCCCCTCTTTAACATGATATTCACCTTCGAGGAAGCTGGCAGCGAACTTCCGCTCCATTTCCTCGGCGGCGTCCATTATTTGTTGTAGATTGTGGGTAATGGGGGAAAATTGCTTTCGCAATTTGACGCTCATTACTCGGCATCGGAGTCCGTCAATGAAAAATTCCCTACCAACTGTTTCTTCCCTCTGTGATTTGATAAATAATCGATAGAATCGACTACAGTATTCTGCTACGGATTCGAGCGGCTTCTGCACCCGATCTTTGATCAGGAAGAATGCCTGCTCGGGGTGAATATAGTCAAATCGGTGTAGGAAATCTCTTTCAAACGTCGGGAGATCAATCCACTTGTATGTGCTAAACCAATGGTGCGCGTCTCCGCCCAGTCGAGATGGGACGTTCATCCTGGCTTCATTATCATCGTATTGTTGCGCTCGGAGTGTGGCAAGCCATGCTCCCACCAAGTGGTGCATAGGATCAAATAGGTATTGATCGGGGGGGGTGGCAGGGGCGTGAGCACGTGGAGGCTGCGGGGGAGCCAAATTCTGTTGGTTCGCCCCACCTTGCGCCTGATTGACGTTCATTTTACCCACCTGTTTTCCAGCAGAGCGGCTTCTAGTTACTATCGGATCGCACACCCGCGCGTTTCTCTGTCTAGCTCGTCCCCGTCTAGGACTCGCCAGGTTTGTTGATTGGAGGAGTCGGGCCACTTGTCAATCCTCAGTCTTGACATGTGTCGGCTCCGATACCAACCTCACGCCCAGCGCAACTTCCTGTTCGGAGTGGGATGGGGGCCCGGAAGTGCGAAAAGGGGTGTGCCAAGGATTTTTGCAAATTGAAGTGGAGTCCCATATCAGAAGTGATATCTCCGGTGGCAAGCTTAGGGGTAGTTGAGCAAGTTGATAAT